CCCTTATTGAGTTAAAACATTATTATTGTGTTGACGAGATTCTCTTTACTTCCCCCCAAGTTATTGCTACCGATCATCAATGTTTTGTGGAATTATTGTCCACTTTGATATTAGTACGTTTATCTTCACCACTATAGTGATAGAACTAATCCCAAAATTGTAGATTTATCATGATGTGACTACTTTACCTTTGAAATTTTGCGTGGAATTCACATTTTGTCTGTACTGACTCATTCTACATGATAATCAGCAATACGATTGCTCGCACTTCTAATGAACACATTTAAGCGGGGGATGAAATAAAACATTTGATATAAGAAGGAATACGTCAAATAGTGACCACACCTGTCTGGCCGAGATATTACATCTCGATTTTGTTTACATGTCTACCGTTTACAACGCTCTTTAAGTATTATACATTGAATGTAAATCTTCTGAGTAATGACATGTTCAGGTTCAAAGATCTTGTGGTTAGGAACTAATAACACTACACTACCATCCCACCAGAACCAATGTGACGTTGGTTTGAGAACAAAAACAGTGAGAATAATTGGAATCCTCTGGTATCGATAAACTGAAAGATAAATTAAAAGGGAAGCAACAGAAACTGATCGGGAAATACATATGATAATTTCAAAGTGTTTGGCTTTGAAAACCGTGAGGTTGAGAACCAACAGCACTACAGTTTAATTACTTACTGTTTGCAATTTATCTTGTAAGATTGTTATTGTAACAGGAACTGCATAAGCTGCTCAAACAAAGTCTGCTTCATTCGCAATTATGCATATGCATTCAGCACTATTAGTATAGATTGCCTTATGCAACTTCCCACGTTTACATGCAGATTTCATCGTACATAATATACATTTTTGAGTTACTCAACTGGGTTTCGTGTCTTTTGTGTTATCTGAAATTCATTATTTTATAGTTTTGGATTAATAGAATTATTGTGTTTCAGTCAAAAATCAGAAATACTTATATGACTTAAGGTTCATCAGCACAGTCAATTTAATTCTTCATTTTTTGGCGATCATTGGGACTTTATATACCGTCAGAAATTTCTATGTCTGTTCTATTTGGGTCAATACTTTGGTCCCGTGAATAAACAGGATTCTGAATTAAGCTGCATATGTACATATATATATGACACTGAAAAAATATGGTGTAATTCCGTTATTAACTGGACAGCTATTCAGAAATAATTGCGACACATTTGCAACGGGATTTACAGTACATGCAGAAGGAAGTGACTCACTAGACTGTGAATGAGGGTAAGGTACCGAACTTCCAAGTGTTGGTTGTCTTCGTAGAAAAAAGAGCAAAGGTCATCTAGGTCTGGGTTAGTATGCCTGCACGCAACTAGAAGAATGACATAAAGGGCCAATTAGGTCAGCTTTATTGAAGGACGCAGCCTAGGCTAGTTAGTCATAGGAAACACAACTCAGCTAAGTCTGTATGCAATGGATTTTTTAAACTTGGTCACAAAGCAAGATATTGTGTGAAGTTGTTGAAGATGAATGCTGAATTAAAATAACGCTGAATGCCAGCCAAACCAACAATCATGGTGGAGCGATCCTAATATTAGAAGATTGATCACAAGATGTTGAGTCATCAGCCGAGTTTTACTAAGGCAAAGGAAAACCATCATGGACTGATCAGTCCAACCCATTGAGCTGATTTACGCCGTCTATCACCGTAAATATCAGTTAGTTTCATCCATTTAGAAGAGGAAGGATCAAACTTTCCAAAAGTAACAAACGTTTGTTGGGCCAGTGAAATATCACTGAGCCCAAGCCAGATCATCAGGCAGTCGGGTCACTGAATGTCGAACGGTTCATTGGTCTCTGTCAAGGTCAAGGACAATCAACGCCATGGACTAGTCCGTGCGGTGATGGCCTCAACTTCTCCCTCGTTCCTACTTGTAGTAATACGTTTCGTAACAACATCCTTTGTGTTACACGGTTTTCAAAGCAACCATAGTACCGTGATACAATCAAGGAGTAATCCGTGTGAGTTGCTGACTGCGAGGTATGACTTTGAGGTTTGCTCTTGGTCACAACATTTCTACCTAACTCGGTTAGATTTTTTAATCATTCAACATAGATAATCTATGTTGGTGATCTACATGTTTCCAACAAACAAGGAACCTGGTTTGTATCTAATAGATCTAGATATTTCTACCGATCAAACAACAATAAAAAAGCGCAGTCACTCAATTTGTTAGCCCTCGAAGCCTAATGATAGAATAAAATGAAGACAGTGTGGTGTTTGAATTAACTAATGATTCTTTTTTACTTGTTGAATGCTCGATTTCGAATTCTAAATACAGTACATTCGTTGTGCCTGTGTCTTCTTAATTCAATTGCGTTAATCCTGGGATTCCTAATTCATACTATAATTAGAATACTATATTGGCGTCGCGATGGAGCCTGCAATGGAAAACTTAGATATTCATTCAACTTCAGAAGCTTTTGAAGATTACTTTGAAAGGTTCGAAATCTGGGCTATGACCAAGGAAGATGATGAGGATGTTTATATTTTGGCACACTTCCTCACATTCATTGGAAAAGAAGCATACAGCTTATTAAGAACTCTGGCTATGCCGGAAAAACCCATTTCGCTTTCTTATACAGCTCTCAAGGATCTACTGCTAGACTATGCTCAGTATACAAATTTCAAATGTCGTAAAGGAGGAAGATTTCGTAAAATGATTCATGAGGATATAAAAAAGTCCACTACATTACGTCACCCCAACCCAGTTCATACTCAAGATTATGCAGACAATTCGTTGAATTTGGATGGAGTTCACGAGGATGGGGACAAGTTTGGTCAGTGTTTGTCCTGTTGCAAGTTCCACTCTTCTAATTCATGTCAATTTCGTAATTCTAAGTGTTTCAAATGTCGTGATATTGGACAAGTTCAGTCAGTTTGTAGTGCTAATGTTCATCTTACTGCAATTAATATTAAGTCTTGTAATTCTGATTCTACTGAGTCGAGTATTCATGATGATCATTTATCTTTATCAACGATTTCAAAAGACAGTGCAGAGTCATATGGCAGTTCAGAGTTAAATGAACTCCAGAATTCTTGTGAGACAACATTTCCTAATCAACCGATTTATCAGAATTCTCATGCTATTGTACCAAGTATGACTTTTCCTAATGATTCACATATTTCTAATGAAATTACTTGTAATTCTGAGGAAAATATGTTAAATGAACCTAATCATGATCGAAAACCTGATGTGGTGTGGATAGATGCTGATTTTTCTAACGATCCTACGCTCTGCAACGACAGTCCTGATGAATTTCATGAGAATATTTCAGAAGAATCAAATCCTGATGTCATATCATATATTACCTATCCTCATAATGTATTTGATCTTCGTGAAAAACCTGCCCAATGCGAAGCACGAGTACTAAGTGACCTCGAGTTTTATTATATTTCGGATGATTTCATATCAACTGCTGTTTACTCTTATCACAAAAACAGTTCTAATGTTTACTCTAAACAATGTGAGATATATGTTTTAAATGAAGCCACATTATTCATAACTTGGGAGTATAAAGATCCAACATTATTTCGTGGGGGGGGATAGTGTTGAAAAATCTATGGTTCGAATTCTAGATATTAATGATTTCATTACAAAACCGACATGCTGGTTGTATACAATTCCAGGTGAGTCTGTTCCGATTTCGTTTGTTAATTCCAATACTAATGAGCACTTTCTAGATACTACAAAGTTTTTATCTTATACAATGTCGGACAGACTCAGGATGAACTTAACAAGAAGACGTACAACCGATTACAAACACTTATACTTCTATTTAAGCTGTGGCGGATGTGGTGTTTGAATTAACTAATGATTCTTTTGTACTTGTTGAATGCTCGATTTCGAATTATAAATACAGTACATTCGTTGTGCCTGTGTCTTCTTAATTCAATTGCGTTAATCCTGGGATTCCTAATTCATACTATAATTAGAATACTATAGACAGTCAGTGAAAAGTTATATAGTATCAAGTAAAAGGATCAGTAATCTAAATTTATATGCCAGCAGAGTGACAATTGTCATACGAGAAATCAAAAAGCTTACAAATAAAGGTACCACACCTTACGTATGAGGGCGAGTATGACTTTTGTACTGATCGATAATTCTCCTGTACATTAATGTGCACCTAACCGATATTGCAAATAAAATATTATCGATTACACTACAATTTTTCTCATTATCTATTTGCGACGATTAAATATATTGAGTTCGACTGCTTCAGATTATCCCAGTAAACCAAAGTGTTAATATTACATGAAATACTATATGAATTCAACAAAAAATACGAGAACGTTTCATAACAAGAAAAACATTTAAATATTCACAGGAAAAAACACATATTGAGATATTCTTTTACATATTCTCGCAGAACCATACAAAATGAATCCTACACCTGAGTCTAAAGTCCCTTCATGTACCACAGTATCACCCTAGATACATTCCGTAACAACTACCCAAGATGACTAGACAAAGCCGACAAGGTTTCTAGGACATCGAATTCAACTACAGTGGATGGGAAGTACTTTCTGGGAAATACAGGTGAGCGAATCTATGACACTAGTCGTCTCAACAAATGTATATGTGTAAGATCAGGCATTTATTGCTATCAAAATCTCAATGGTCCAATGATTATCATTTCTTGTCCCCTGAAAGACTTGTGGTTATGCATAGCACATAACCGCCCTTCTCTCTCGGAAGCTGTTTCGTGGAACGGCAATTTTGTAGTCATTCGAATTCAAATCAAATTGAATACAAACTATGGTCTATAAAAATGCATAAAGATGTATAAATAGTGATTGCATCATTTGAGTTTTAAAATGGCTTGTCCTTTTGCTGTTTAACTGCACTAAGTTGTTGGCACGAACATACCTGTACGGTGGAAATAGCGCTCAAGTTGTTTCTGAGTTTGACGCAGACCAGACTATTGTCTGATTTTATTCACGTGGATATGCTCTTTTTATTTCACGGTATCAAAGAGTGAATTTTCCAGAGGGGAAAATCAAGTTCTTCATGAACTGAACTCACTAGACGGTATACGGAACTGTATTTTGTCACTTCTAGCCGCGTTATTCAATTTGGGGATATAATTATCTGTGCTGTCACTCATCGTTCTTCCATTTGAGTTACTAAGTGGTTGCTGTTTGTCTATTAATTTAGATTCCTTCCCATTTCTAATGAACGATCCTAGTATATCCCACACCTCGCGCTTCGAGCGCTAACGCCCTAGCTGGGGCAAGATTGACTAATTTCGGCGGAACCTCTAAAGTTCCCTTAAGGAACTTCGGGAAAATGCAACTAATGAACCTAGAATCCGCCCAAAATTTTTGGGAGTTGTGATTTTCCCTTAATGAGGCGTCGCTGCATTGCAAAGTTCACAAAAGTCAAGTATATTTAGCTTGAGAAATTATGAAATTCGGAGGAATTTATTAGTTAGGAATTGTGGACGCATAATAAAAGTCAATTATCAGTTCATAAAAATTTTCAGGGTGAGGCTATAATTTATGGACGACCTTTGGGCGACGCTAAAATGGCCTTGAGGATGTCCACCTACTGACTATGGCTCAATAACGGTTTTAAACCAGTCTGAAGGATAAGGATTGTAATTTGCAGTTGGTGGTTAGGGATAGTGATTAGATTGAGGGTTTTTACCACGAACTGACATCAGTTAAAATGTTAAGACGCTATTTAGCCAAATGTATAGCTTCGCGCCGAAATCCAAGACCTGTTATCGTAAATCGGATTGGTTCGTCCATAAATTATAGTCTCGCCGTTTTCAGCTATGCAGTTCTACTGTTGTAGATTTTACAGAACTAGTGATTTTCTTTCTATAGTCATGAACAGTCCACTGGGAATTATTTGCCTGGTCGATTTGTCGTAACACTATCAGGACTGGTCTGCACCATCACCCAGATTGGCCATACATCATGAATGAGCGTTAGATACGCCATGTTTCTTAGGTCTCACCAGTCCTGGTAAGGGATTGGTTTCCGATTAAATATCAAGGGGTTTACATGGCAGGAATATGGCTGTGGAACATGGTCGACAAGAGTTAAACACAGACGTAGCGTTCGTGCTTATGATGTTGAGCGTCTCGAAATCACTGTTCAGGTGTTACAGGACGACCAGGTAAGCAACGCTGAGGTCATACGCAGGGTACTAGGGAAGATGGAAAATCACCTGATGAGGCCATGTATGTTCACCGGTTGAGATGTTGCCGGCATGTGTTACGTGTAACCAACCAATACCGACCTCGTCATGCAATTTTGGCAAACTTAGAAAAACACCAGGAACAGCTAAACAATGGCCTGAGGTCAGTTCACCATGTCTCTGACTGTTGGTTTGAGCTATGTTTGTAGACTACCTAGTTGGCATCCGCACAATAATGCCAAACACTGGTTACAGATGATGAGTGATATGGTTCAGACGCAGGTGTTGTATGCTAATGTTTCTCCACACACCTCTTCACCGATTTTTTAAAAACCACAATCTCAATGTTTATTATGACTAGACCATTAAGGAAAAGACAAAGTAGGACTACAAGACTGTGTGCATAGAAATAGCGATATGTTTTAGAATCCTCAGCCATAAGTATTCCTATTATTCAGTGAATTAGTAATGGTGTGGTTTGCTTTAAAGTCCGCGTTTTACAAAAAGCATTTTAATTAACGAACTGTGAATCAGTTCGTCCTGGTTTATTTCACGCTGCGAAATGTGACCATTAACGGTAGAGGATACTCGTAAGTTACTAGTACTTGATCACAGATGTCTTGGAAACATTGCTCGAATCACCGGGTAAGTTATAGTGAGGCTAGACGCAGAGAATGATGGTAAGCCAGTTGATGAGGCTGTGAATCTTCATTGACTGAGATGATCGGGCCACGTATTACGCATGTTCAACCATCGATTACCACGGCACTCAATGTTGACCAGTGTTGGGTGCGGACGGAACAAAGTTAAGGGCGGCTAAACCGAAACGTGGCATCAGTCTTTGAAGTCACTAACTTCTGGCCTGAGCCATGTTGGTAGATGCAGATTACTTGGTCGGAGTCCGCGCGACTATCGTAAGTAGTATATATATATATATAAGCATTGAAGTTACTGCTTCTATGAATTTGGTGTTCATCTTTTTGTGCTAATGAGGTATGGCAACTTGGACTGATGTATATATGTGCCTGGTCCTACCGACTGACCGTTATGAGCATTATCCTTTTTCACCGATTCGGAATCATTTTCCCGCTAGTTATATCTTGGGTGAAAATATAAGTCTTGTTATGAGGCTCTTTATGTGATGTAATAGAAAGTCATTTGCTTTTAAATGAGCCTGAAATTCGTTCTCTGGACTCCAGTCGCTTCGGTTCTACACTACAGTGATACCTGTTATCTCCTGTCTTTTGAGATTGCTGTCTTGGCTGAATGAGTTACTGGTTCCGAAATTATTTTTCCCCTCATGTATTTATCGTAAAGTCACCAATTACAAACTTTTAGAAGCTAGAGGCTCGGTCTTGTGTTTGACATTCAACCATTTCCATTTTGATACTGTTTCGAGCCGTTTAATAGCTCCTCCGTAGCTCGCTCATTTTACTATTGCTATCATCAACCATCTTGTTACTTGGCATTCTCATTTCCTCATTGTTATGTCGGTAATTGTCTTAATATTATGCAAATGGGATTTATGGAGGGAAGAATGGACATACACAGATGTACTTAAATATACGTACAGACCCCTGTATATTCTCCCTTTAACGCGAAAGATATGGAAACCGAGGGATTCCTATACGTGTTATGGAGTCATCAACTTACACTAAGTAACTTTTTTTCCACGTTTCTCACTCCTCCCTTCTCTAAAGTAAACTATCACCATCAAATGTGCGCAAACGTTTCATTAAAGTCTACCTTACTAAAGAGCCTGTACTTTGCTTGATTTAACGTGCATTCAAGTCTATGAAATTGAACTGTTTGTTGACTGTGTATTCAGATTTATTCAGCTAACTCATAAATCCAGCATTATGTTATATATATATATATACGTACATAGAAATATATCGAATTGACGTTATGTTTACTGTCGACATGCCTTATCCCAGAAATATCTTAGCTATAGTGGCGTTTTCTTTGTGAAATATTTTTGTTTGATATAAATTTAGAAAACGGACTGAGCTGGATAAAGCCTTAGCAATTTATTGGTTAGTCGTTTCATGTAATATCCACTAGGATTAAAGGTTCACAAACAGAATGATCAAAAGGTAAGGTTTTCAAGCGAAAGAACAGTGATTTCATTTGCTTTATAATCACTGTTTTTGCTTGAGATAAGTTTTGAGGAATATAGCATAGGTTTAAGTGAATCAAGCATTTGTAAAAGGAAAGATAACTGTCCAAAAGCGTTTTTTGGGTATATTCAAATAACTGTGGGGAATAATGAGTTGTTCGCATCAGATGATGAAAAACGTTGTTCTTAGCAGTTACTTCTTCAAACTTATTAATAAAATCATTCCGTTGAGACTGATAATTGTAACGTTTCATCTAGAAAGTAATATGCGGAGATCTGCAGCACCAAGTCGTACTAGTCAGTCTCAAGATCTGTCGATAAATTCCAACCTCGTAAAGACGGCTGAGTACAAGTCAGTTTCACACTGTTCCTCAAGTCCTAAAATGAACAATACGCCTACAAATTTTAATTTATCTCATGCTACGAAATGTTCCAGGTATTTCGAGGCTGTATATGCTAAAGCATCGACTAAAAAGGTATGGCGAATATCGTTTACCAGTTTTGCTTGCATTTTAGCATAAAAAATGGGAAGGGGATGGTAAGCAGTCACCAGTCTTGTTTATCTCTACGTAATTTTTAGGTTTTGTAGAGGTTGAAGGTCGAATCATAAAGCTTATCAATGAAGATTTGAAAGTGTAAGTGCTACTTTTTTAATGAAGGTAAATTTACCGGTTATTTTCCAACTATAGAATAGCATCTGCTTCTGGTCATAAATTAGCTTTTTTAAATGAAATTGATATTGGTTCGGTTGTTCATATTGGGTCTTATGAAGCAGAGCTTATTTCACTGATAGAGAAGCCACAGTTAATTAATCTTTCCTCAAAATCAAATGATGGCACTGAGGCGTTACATGCACCGGGTAACTAGTGTATTGTATTGTATTTATTTTGTCCTTATTTCCAGCAAAAATTTCGACAAGCAAACCAAGCACAAATCTCAGTTTCTCACCAAAGGTACCGTTTACATAATATCTATTTCCGGAATAATTTTTATTTGAGTCCATTTTAACCTCAATCCTTTAGTATCTTAAAACCTTCTAAGGATAATAGTCTTTCGTATTTGATACCCTTAAGATCAACCTAGGAGACTAATAAATGATAACACTGACGTTTCGTTCTAAAATACAGAAGTTGAAGGTACATCTGCAGTTGTATAAACTAATTTTTCTGCCTTAAAACCTTAATTTGACGGATGGAGTTGCTGAGATCATCTAAACAAGGAAAATAACTTCAAGATATTACAAGAGAATTATTCGATAAACTTAAATACTAAGAGACATTGACATACGTTTACAAAGTGTTATGTTGTCTGGGATTGCATGTGGGCATTAGTTACTCACTAGTCGTTTTTTTGTGTAAGTTCTTGTGACAGATTGCCGTATACTTACTTCTATCCGTTGATAAATCGTACTGTCCCATTTCAATTTAGATTTTCAAACAAAACAGAAAAACCGGTCGGATTCTGAATGGCATCTAGAATGAATGAGTCAAATGCTAATTTCCATAATAAACACATTTCAAAGTGGTTTGTTTTCCTGTTTTTGCTGCATCAAATTTGTTTCATTCCACCGTCTAGTTTCAGTCGTTAAGAAAATTTACCTGCTCTGTTTAAGGGAATATTGAATTAGAAAATAATTTGAGCCCGACAAACTTGAAGAAAAATATTTGGGGCAGAGATTGGTCGACTTTCATCATGAATATTATCGTTTCTTATCAAGTTTCATTTCTAATTACTGGAAACTAGTGTACTAATTATGACTGTTCTCATATTTACATAGTATTATTATCACAGGAAAAAGCCTGGTATGATAGGAGATCGAGAAATTTCGCACAAAATGTGAGCTAACAATATTGTAGTGAAAAGGACGTGAAAACTTAAAACTAGTCAGTAAAGAAATAAATGTAACAAAATAAATGTTTATTAAACAATACTGATATATTCTTAACGCAGCAAAGTTATATTTCACCTCATATAAATGCTTCCTCAATAAAATTGCCTCTAAACGAATTGAGGGCAGCCTTGATGTATAGACAGATAATTTTCGACATAGAATACATATGATAGTTTCCAAGGAATTGGCAGAAGTTGAATATTTGACCGACCAATCTATACCTAAACTAAGACCTGTTTGCAGAGTATTACAGAAATGAATATTCTAGACACAACTGATAAATTTTAAACTGATGATTATTACAAGCATTTGTAAGCTGTTTAAAAATGAATACAGCAGCAGCAAACCGTGACTATTACATAGCAGAGATGTGGATGTTTGTGAGTATTTAATGAACATAATATTGACTAGTGTCTGGTGATCAGTTTTTTAAATATACTAGTTCTGGATGATAAGGACTAGTTATCTCTTTTTTAGTAATGCAATTAAATTGTACGATTCTCACTTTGGCTTTGTGTCTTACACATCCTAAATATTTTAGTTAATTTTCTAGCATTGATTTATAAATTGCATGTATATTTCCATATTATATCTCACGTTGTGTACAACATAACCTCGATTTCGGTGTCTTGTAGACGAATTCCAAATCAAAACTGAATGAGTCCTGGGGTTCTTCAAACCATCTGGTTATGCCCAAGCCTCCTGCTAACTGCATTGTAAGAGTAGTAACTTAATTCTAAACCTCGTCATTTATTCACTTTTCTACTTATGACCGATCCAACGCAGGTCTTCATAATGTCAAACTATTATCTAATGTCATATGTTTTCAAGATTTTGATATAATTTAGTCTGATGGAAATTTAGGTATATGACTTATTATTTGTTTATTGAATTCTCAGTACATTTCGGATTCATTTTGTATTGGTTGTTTAAATCTTCCGATTGATGTTTAGGACTGAAATTGATCAATCTCTCATTGGCTGAATTAAATGAATTAAAACTTCACCCCATTGCACAAGGTAGTGGCTATCTGAACTCAGTAGCTAAATGGATAACGCGATGGTGTTTGTAGAAAACGGTACTGGGTTCGAGTCTCCTTAGTGAACATTAACTTTGAAATACATGTACATCCAGCTGACAAGTCCCAAACAGGACGAAACGTGCGTCCTAGATTCCAGTGCTAGCCACCATCCATCTCTGCTTATAATTTCCTATCAGGTTTTGGTCATTTTAACACAAGATTACTGCCTATTAAATCCATTCTTTTGAATAATAATGATGACAAGTATAATTCTCGTATTTGAAGTCAGACGAATAATGATACTTATCGACTGACTTTAAGCCTCGAAGCCCCTTGAAAGTCGTAGCTCAGTAAAAAAATCTCTGTTGCGTCTGTTTACCATCGCTATCAAGCCTCCAATCGATTGAAGCTAGGTTGGGTACCGGCTTAGTGGTTTAAGTGTTAAACGCTTGGCACCAGAACTGGTGTCATGCGTTCGATCTCCAGTGGTGGTCTCGTGGATGAACCCTGCTTAGGAGTTATATACTGGGAGGAAATAGCTATCCGATCTTTCGTTGTTTTTAATAGCTGTCTAAGATTAGTTCTTTTTGTAAATTATGAACAGTAGATGTTGAAATTCATTAAAATATATTAATAAAATTGATAACTGTCGCTTGATTTTGTTGTTAATTGTTCAAAGTGGCTAAAAAGAAACCTAGTTTCATTGCACTGTTAAAAATAGTTGTTAATTCGATTCCATATCATGATCAGAAAGCCAGACAAATAATTGAGATACCTTTATACATACATTGCTCAATTGTATTTCGGTAAGAAAAGTATGAATATCAATTAATCAACTCGTTCTTTTTTGTATAGAATTTTCAAAGGTTGATCTCTCGTTAGTTTGCTTAGTCTAAATGGTTAAATTAATTGTTTGACACGGGTGCCTTTTAAGTTGTCTTTGTAGTGATATTAGACTCCTTAATGACATATATATTTGCTGAGCGTTTGACGTCGTCCACATCCCTTGCATCAAATCGCAACAAATATCCATGTAATCTCTAAGCTCATGACCAAATATCATGCACAGGTTATCAGTAGCGAATAAAAAAATAATTCTATTACATAAAATCACAACAGCTAATATCAGTAGACTCTTTAAACTATGGAATAAATACTGATCGTAAATAAAATCGTTCTAATAAGCGTTTTGTATCCTCATACTTTCTACATTAGTGAAGTTTAAGATTAAAGTGGTTGTTTGTGAACTGCAGCCCTATTAGTCAGTATATATATATATATATATATATATATATCCACTAATATGAGTAAATGTATTGAACAGAGCAGCCAATAAACCAGTTGTTATATTAGCAGTAAAGACAGTGTCTATACAAAAAATTTACTTTCATTGTTACTCATAGAGATTTAATATTCCCAGGTTCAGTGTTAATCGTTGACTTAGTAGTCTACTTTATCCAGAGATTAATTCGTCGTTTTATTTAAAAAATAATTTTAGTGGTCTCAGAATCCCGACAACCTTCCTATTGTGGATGTAGTTTTAGAGTCGAAGTTTGCTTCACGTCTACAGCCACATCAATGTGAAGGTATTATTTTCTTGTATAAATGTTTAATGGGATTTCAACCGTATGTTACTTTAAATGAATCTGATGCACAAATTACTTATGGATGCATTTTAGCGTGAGTTTTAACTTTTTTGGTCTAAGTTTTGACCCCACGACAAAGACAAGCTTTATCTGTATTTTTGTACTGACATAAACATTTGTCGATCTTGTTCCATGCAGGAAAAATAACCTGTATTAGAGTATTAACATACTGTGCAGATCCATCATATTCTTGATAAATATTTCATACTAACTTAATCCCCTCAATGAAATATGTGTTCACTCATTATCCTCATTAAATTGGGATTGATAGAGTTCCTCAAGTATACATTGGTAAGCAAAAACCATAATAACAGGCAATACCCGTTGCGAAATTCGTATCTAGTGTTGCTCACCATCTGCATAAATACTCTCACAGCGTGTGAGTTCATAAAAGTGACACAACTCTCGGCGAAAATATCGACAATCACTTTAATGGTCCATCAAATTGTTTTTCAAACCCATAGAACTACGTATTTTGAATTTTAACTATTGTTACTTAATATCAATATTGCATACACATAACAATCTCATCGTAAAAGTTATAAATGGGAACTTAACATTGTAGTACAATAAATCAATCCGCATAATTAGCCTCAACATAAAAAGTATAGTATCGTTTTATTGTACACAAATCAATGAGTGATTATTACTGATTTATATCTTTATTATTGCCTTATTCTATTAAGATTTTTTGGTCTGTAAGGTACTGCTCTACTGTATTTATAACACAGAATACATTTGGTAGTGTTTAATTAACTTGTATTAGACTATGTGAATGTATTTTCTTAACATTCTTAGGGCTATATTTATCCTGCTGTGCGCTACTTCTATCTTGACTACAACACATCACCTTCGTTTTTATATTCATTATGTAAATTAGAAGGTAACGTCATTCGTAATAAGTTTTTGTTAATTTATTAGGGATGAAATGGGTCTTGGTAAGACAGTTCAAGCTATTGCCACCATTTGGCTATTAATTAGACAAGGACCGTACGGAGGTAGACCGGTTATTCAACGTTGCCTTATTGTAACTCCAGGTACACTTGTTCAGGTAATTGGTCTATTTTTTTTAATACAACTTAATCTTACTAATTTTTTTGGCTCTTATCATATATTCTGCCTTTCCTCTCTTATTTACATCATGTTAGAATTGGCAAAAGGAATTCTCCAAATGGTTAGGTCGTGAACAGTTACCCGTGTATTGTGTAGATCAAAATCATTCTGTTAAAGTGAGTTTTTTCTTGATTATGTCCGACTATTCTGTTTTTCATTATTTGTAGAATAATTTGATAATTATTGAGAATCATGTAAACAGTATATGTAGAGCCAGTTGCTCAGCGGTTAAACAATCGGACTTTCAATAACTTATTTACATGTTTGATCCTTACTCTATCTACTTCGATTTGAGCAGCTGAGCAATATAATTAACACTCATGCTTAGTATGGTTCAAAAATCGAACACATGAACTGTAAAGAAATTACTTAAACAGTTTGTATCTATATTTTTAATTTGATAACTTTGGTCTCTTTCTGGTCCTAAAGTCTCACGTTATGACAACTGGCCATTTTGTTTATATTTGACTGAAATGTCATCTGTAACGCATCCTAAAAGCAGTAATATTTTTACAACAACATAGAAAAATTCTTTATAACCATTTGTAATTTTTCGTTGTCGATATTCAGGATCAATCTCTTACCATATCTGCATCGTGAGTTTGAGTCTCAGTGTACATGTCAAAACCACGATGCAGGTGCGTTCAGCTGACGAGTCGCAAACTGGACAAAACGCGCCTCCTGAATTTCGCTGCTAGTCAAAATCCATCTTTATAAAGCTTGTGACAAAATCACTGTATCAATGCGATTTGTATATATCACATCCACATATTCCAACAAGGATTGATCAAAATTTTGTTCTATGTATCAACAATGGGATAACTAAAACCTGTACTAATGGTAATATAAACAACAGTTTTTGTTAATTTTTTTCATTATTTTCCACCTTTCTTTATCGGCAACTGACTTTTTTTGTCTTATTTTTCTCCTTCAGAAATACCTAACAATGTCCAGTGATTCACCGCAGGTTATTCTTATGTCGTATGAAATGTTTCTACAGCATACTAGTGAAATCTATGAAATTTCCGACTTGGATATGGTTGTTTGTGACGAAGGGCATAGATTAAAAAATGCCAATATCAATACAACTATGGTAGGTTGTTTGGATTTTGTTTATTGGTACACAGAATATGTAATATAACGATGGATCATTATATACGTATTTTAGTCGGTAAATTATTCGTCAGTCTGTTATCGCATAGGCTTGATTGTGCAGACTACTAGCAATAAACACTAGATCACGCTACTTGATTACGTGATCCTCACAATCACTCAATGAAACGACCGTTCGATCATGTTCGGGTCTCAAACACGCGGTTGTTGATGCAGGTACAAAGCACTGAGTTAACAGAATGAAATTTACATTATAAAATATTCTTTTATGCTAAATGTACCGAGGCATATCTTCCTTTATTATTGACCAATCAAAGATTACTCTAATCAAACATAACATCAAAGTGCTATCAATTTCGGAGGAAATAGTCGGATAATTTAAAGTTGCTGGTGCATATTTTTTTAATATTGTGATATTTGTAAAATCCTCAATAGATTGTCCATCATTCTTCCATCGTCATCAATTTTTACTTAGTTGAAATATATTTTTATTCTATATTCCTGTATTTTATAATTTAGGCACTTTGTCGACTACGTGCACGTAGACGTTTACTATTAACTGGGACTCCATTACAAAATCATTTGAATGAATTATGGTCATTGGCTAATTTCTGTGTACCAGGACGTTTAACTTCAAGTTTAGAAGAGTTTCGTCGTCAATTTGTTATACCACTATTAAATAGTCGTAACTTAGTACAAAATGTTAAAAACAATCTTTACAATGATGATGATTGTGATTCTTGGAGTTATACAAACTATGAGAAGAATTGTGATGATTTAGAAAGTCCATCAGCCAAATTATTCCGACTATTGAACAGTTTCTTTTTAAGACGCACATGTGATGTCATTGCACCAAAACTAACTGATAAAAGTAAGTACTCCTAACTTTTAAAAAATTCTTTTTGTGTGAGATAACTCTGTAATTATATGCATATAAATTTAGTAGACATGAAACTCCCTGTTCGAGTCCTATTGAATTGTCGTGCACACTACTTGATGTATACCAAACCCAATATACAAGTAAAAACGCTTTAATAACTATGAAGGTTTAATTGCGAAGTGTATTTATAACGTACACGATTCACAGGAATATATACAAATATCCTTCTGGTTCAGAATTGGACACAGGGTGAAACCTTGTATAGGTGTATAGTTGACCTCTTTCCCTATAGCGTCGCTCGTCTAGAACTTTTTACATACCGTTTGATAGCATATAAGCATAAGCGTGTGAAACGTCTATAAACATCGAAACTATCATCGTGTTCTTAAATTATTTCACGTTTCTTTTCTTGTTAAGTTACCTGAGCTGAAGTTCGAAGTTGATGTAAATTCTTCATAATTAATCACCCATATACAGCCATAAACATTCATCCACCTAATTTCCTATTATCACACCTGACTGCTAACACTATATTCTAGTATTTTTGTGCTATGATAAAAGTTCATTATTTTATCGTAGTAGTGAATTTAATTTTATTAATCGGTTACTGATATATCTCTACTAGTTTATGTATAGGGATCATATCTACATATTATTTATGTCCTACAGATAATTCTTAAGCATCTGTTATTGTGAATGAAAATTGAAAATTACAACAGTGTCACTGAAAAACTAATTAGTTCTCACTAATTTCTTTCATATGAAAAGTCATACCTGTTACCTATGGACGGATTAAAATGTCACAGATTAAGCCAAATTTCTTAGTCGAAAGATATTTAGAATGCGTGACTTGCACAGTTCACTACTAGATAAACTTTTTATTTGCCATTCACGATTGGATGTGTGAACATGGAGAAACGCTTCTCAGACTACTCAATTGAGTTGAAACGCGACTCAATATCTATGGTACCAAAAGATGCAAGCAAGCATATAGACAGATACGTACGTTCATACACGCTCAAGTTCACATATGGGTGACGAAGTGACTAGGATGATTGGGATCATTCATCTGTCCAAAAGTAAAGATAAATCGTGTAAGCGTGTAAAATGCTAGTCACTACAATATTCACCCTACATTTAACTGCTACGCCCATTCTAAAAAATAATCAGGTGAAAAAGATAAGCAACATCTAAGTATTCATCTAGAGAGCCGATATAGTATCAGATATTGATCAAGTCAATTCCATTCGTGAGTAGTGCAGAATATTGAACAGTTGTAACTCAGACTGTTAAATTTATTTTTCCATAAATGAACCACCAAAGACTTCAATGCTTGCTTTAGATTAATAACTAATAATAGACGATTGCGTAATCCCCATTCTGTCGAATTTGTATGCTTTAAAATACAAGTTCGCGTTCATAAGATATAATACGTAAACTAACAATCAATGGAACGAAATTTTATATTATCTATGCTAGAAGCCAGACTGCTTGTTTTCACACGTTTTCACACCTTTGTGATTTTTAATCTCACTCCAATTTCTTTTTTCGTGCAACATCTTATAGTACTTAATAATATTCAGTAACGTAATTTATTTCTAATCATTTTTGAACACATTGCTCATATAATCTATTCACTATGTGATTGTTCCAAGTATTTACATGCATTTGTGACATTTAATTCATCCATTATTGTAATCATATCCTCTCAAGATTTGTTTATTTGTAGAAAATTCCCATATTTAGTGTTGCGTAGTTCACCTTTCAATTTTTTCTGCCATTTTTGAATTGGATACATAGTGTCATTTAATTTATCATACGTTTTTGTAAATTGCTATTAAAAAGTCATTGTGAAAAGTATTTCCATTTCGGTCGTGCTTTGAAAATATAAAGGCTTTAGAAATGTCACAGTTTGAAGTTAATGTAAACTTTATTACTTATGTTCATTAGTATTATTACTACCAATATCGTTTTTCTAGGCAATTCTTTTACTTTAGACTTAGTGACTTTTATATGTAACTCAATCGTTTCGTCGAAATCTTTAAGCGAATTCAACGGGTCTGAATAAGAAAGGAAGTGATATCACAACCAGGATATAATGTGCTTGATCAAATGACCTCGTCAGGTGCACACATAAAAAACTTACATCTAGGTACTGACTTGGTATAAAGTAACAATGAACATTCATTAGTTAAAAATAATTTTGTGCAATGAATGTACAATGAATGAAGTAAGGACAATTCCAGTTTATTAATATGAGGGCTTCGACTTTATGTCCCGTTGGTTCGGTGACTCAACAAGCGACTCACAACGTTCTAGATTCCAATCGAAGCCGGAACATGTTGGACATATTTTAGTTAGACCAATCAAATAGTGTCATTTGCTTTCACCAAAAAGTAGGTGGGTCTATTCATCCAACTACATCGCGTTATCTTATTTATAACCAACAAAATCTTGCTTCACCAAACGGGAAAATGAGCAACTTTAGAGAGACCGAAACGAAGACCTAGGGAAATTGTGTCCAGATAGTCGTCACCCCAAAGCTTAGATTTATAAAAACAACCCAATTCTTGAGTGTTTCAATGACAAGTTTTTCAAACGACTTACGATCATGAGATGTTGGATCATTGATTCTCTGAACAACTTCAGCGCGTTGTTTATTCGTTGTCTGACCATCTAATCGAAGAGATGGTTGTCCAGTGACTAGATTACATAATTTCTCCAAAAGATTAAGTGTCTGGAATATGGTAAATGTAAAAAAGTACAAGATTGATAAATTGACTTATATTTTGAAGTATTGTTTTAATAACATATATGTATGTTAAAAAGAAGCCGCGAGATCCAACAATGTTTATGCATGATCAATTAGCCGTAGGCTAGTATGAGACCTAGTACCAATTTGTGTCATTTGACAAGCCATATCAACACAGTGATATGCCAGAGTAGCAGGAGTAGGATGGCGTGATACTGTGAGATCTGGTCATCTTAGATTTTATTCTTCGTATATCTATGGGTTCGCACTACTGAAGAGTCCTATACGAATACAGAACAGCTACACAACTTTCAACCACTTGGTCTCATGTTGGAGTGCGTTTCATCTGTCTCAGTCGAGGAAACAAAATGGTATTATTATTGCTCATAGAAATAATATGATTCAAAGCTGTGTACATATACGTGTACTTGATTATTCATTTGTGTTAATGGATTTATCAATTATTCATAATGATTTAAATATCCCATCTGCTCTTTCTCGAATAAGGATACGTTGATTGGTCACTGAGTAGTGACATATTTCATATTTGTCTAGTCCTTTAGTCCCAACCGAATTCTGACGATCAAGTTACAATGTGGCTACTATTTTCAGTGTCTGGACATCATGTTCACCATACTTTAATGTTAGATAGTTGAATGTAGTCTGCAGGAAACCCTTGAGAGTTCAACTACTTCTTGCTTACGTGTGGTAACTAGTACGAAACTGACGTTAAACAGGGTTTGCTCTCGAATACTTCCAACCATCTAACATGAATAGATATTTTTCTACTAACAGTCTGCTTATTTGGTTGTTTTCAACGTGCTTTATTCTCTATATATAGCTGAACATATTTTGTTTTGTCGTCCGAGTAAACTGCAAACCGATTTGGAAGCTATACTTACACAGTGGATGAATAATGAATTTAATTTAAGTCGATGTGAATCTCTTAAATTATTCTCACACGATGATGATTATGAAGATTTTGTTAAATCTGTGGAAAGCGTATCGTCATCACGTTCAAAACACCATAGTTCCATTTTATCAATTATAACAGCATTTCGAAAACTCCATAATCATCCATATCTATTAAGAAATTATTTAATACAGTCGAATTCTACACAAAATCAATCAGTTGATCGTGTAAGTTGTTACTATTTTTAATTAAGAAGCTTCAAATGTTGAGCTTTTACAGAATAGTTTCTTGGTCGTAATTGTCTTGGTTATAATTGTCTGATATATGTAGTTACTTGAGCTTTATATTTTATTAAAAAGAAATGACATTTAGACGTATAATGATTCCATAACTTAAACATTCTGCTTCCAAATGTATTAAATCATAAGTTTACACAACTCGTTTCAATTAGATTATCTAAGTGATATTTCTAAATTTTGCATGAAAAGGTCTTGTTGTCTAATAAACGAATGTGTACCTAGTCATACTCTATTCATTTACTCCATTCTAAAATGTTACTTAAAAAACTGCCACTTAATTGTTTTATTCTGTATTATTTAAATGCCCTCTGATGTTGAACTAAATGATGCTATCATAATTTGAAATTCTTCATCTTACGTATATGTCACAGTCTCTTCCTAAGGCCTTGCTGAATCAATTTTGATGATTGTCTCATTAGTGGTTACATGACTGTTATGATATTGGGTTCCTCGTGAGGCCTGAATGTTCTGGGCTTTGTCTCATATGAATTCCTGGGAAGTCACAAACGTAGGAAAAATAAATATTCTGCACAATCTGGTTTACGATTGTTTATCAGTGTATTTCAGTCCGTGTCGAAAACTACTTTTACATGTAACAAATCTATAAACCACCTAGATAGATAGAGTCACTTAGTATTATATATTAGCACTGTGATACATCCCAATTAATTTGATTACATATTTATAGTTATACTTCAGAAGTCAATTCGCTTCATTCTTAACACTGTAGGGCATCCGCAACTCCTCAACTTTTTAAAAATCATTTCGGTAAACTTGAGAAATTAGTATTACAACGTAACTTGATACCTTGTTGCATCAGTTCTCTTACCTAGAATCCATACACATAAAGTTACAAAAATGAGCAACATAAAAAGTTAGATATAGGTTATGACAGTAGCCTAGATTTTAGGCCATGTTATCTAACATGTTCAATCACAGTGGTCCTTTATATCTTAAAACTGTTCAGCCTTTTGTATGATTTACACTTGTAATAAGTAACTCCTTACGGCCATTTGTTATTTCCACGTTTTCTTGCATTTCAGTTAACATTATTAATCGTATTAGTTAGTAACTGGATTCATAACAACGAATGTCTTGAAAACACACATATACCGTTTGATACATACTCGAAACTCTTTTAATTGCTTTTTCTCATGTTTATCACGGTAGCTTGCATTTGATCTTAGTATTACTTACTTATATCTTGACGACATGAAATATTTATCCTTCAAGCAACCTTCAATCAAATATTTCAAACCTCTTATAAACAATATGGCAAATCATTCCCTGTTTTATAGCCAGGTGGTTGTTTCACCTGTCGTTTAAAAGTGTTAACAGGTTTTTGAGTTTTCTCAGCATGTTTTTTAAAAAATCACTCCAAACTAAGTGTTCGAATAATCAACAAAGTTGTCAGTCCTGCAAGCAGTGGTCTTTTGGAGAATAGAATCTGACAATCCTCCATACCATGTAAGTAAGTACACAGTTTCCTCCAAATATTTACATCGAATAAAATTATTTAAACTGATTCCTTTAGTTGCGTACATTTCATCATTTTTCCCCTTCGCACACAGCTACCTACAAAACTGACTGCAGATTTGCTCCGTTTGTTGAATTCTGAACATTCAATAGTGGCACAAGATCTCTGTTTTACAAATCTAAATGAATTTATTCAATTATCTGGAAAGTTCCACGTTCTTTATATCATGCTGAGACGACTGTTTGACAAACAACTGTCATCTTCGTCCACAGTGAATTTCCAAAAAAAACCGCGACTATCCAACAGTAATAGTAAAAATAGTTTACATATTAATGATCGTCTTGTATTAGTTTCCAATTTTACTCAGGTGAGTATTATGACTTGATTACTATAAACGTTGTTATACTATTCTCTCTATCAATTTATATTTTTTTATTTTTATTTTTATTTGAAAAAATAAATATTGGTACGAGAGGGCACCAAATATATATGCGCCACACTTTGTGTGAGGGTTGTGATACTGCCCGGGTGCCCAAACCAAAGCAGGTGGTTTTCTTAGGGGGTCACACCCCCTGCCTTTGACCTGAAGGTCTCACCCACAAGGCAGTGGAGCATCGTGAGGAGATGCAGTCCCATGGTAGCCGGTGACCAAAAATTGGTTCATACGCCATTTATTTCCTCAGGATACTGGAGCCCATGTCCACCACTGATACTTCTGCTATTCTGGCATATCACTGTGTTGATATGGCTTGTCAAATGACACAAATTGGTACTAGGTCTCATACTAGCCTACGGCTAATTGATCATGCATAAACATTGTTGGATCTCGCGGCTTCTTTTTAACATACATATATGTTATTAAAACAATACTTCAAAATATAAGTCAATTTATCAATCTTGTACTTTTTTACATTTACCATATTCCAGACACTTAATCTTTTGGAGAAATTATGTAATCTAGTCACTGGACAACCATCTCTTCGATTAGATGGTCAGACAACGAATAAACAACGCGCTGAAGTTGTTCAGAGAATCAATGATCCAACATCTCATGATCGTAAGTCGTTTGAAAAACTTGTCATTGAAACACTCAAGAATTGGGTTGTTTTTATAAATCTAAGCTTTGGGGTGACGACTATCTGGACACAATTTCCCTAGGTCTTCGTTTCGGTCTCTCTAAAGTTGCTCATTTTCCCGTTTGGTGAAGCAAGATTTTGTTGGTTATAAATAAGATAACGCGATGTAGTTGGATGAATAGACCCACCTACTTTTTGGTGAAAGCAAATGACACTATTTGATTGGTCTAACTAAAATATGTCCAACATGTTCCGGCTTCGATTGGAATCTAGAACGTTGTGAGTCGCTTGTTGAGTCACCGAACCAACGGGACATAAAGTCGAAGCCCTCATATTAATAAACTGGAATTGTCCTTACTTCATTCATTGTACATTCATTGCACAAAATTATTTTTAACTAATGAATGTTCATTGTTACTTTATACCAAGTCAGTACCTAGATGTAAGTTTTTTATGTGTGCACCTGACGAGGTCATTTGATCAAGCACATTATATCCTGGTTGTGATATCACTTCCTTTCTTATTCAGACCCGTTGAATTCGCTTAAAGATTTCGACGAAACGATTGAGTTACATATAAAAGTCACTAAGTCTAAAGTAAAAGAATTGCCTAGAAAAACGATATTGGTAGTAATAATACTAATGAACATAAGTAATAAAGTTTACATTAACTTCAAACTGTGACATTTCTAAAGCCTTTATATTTTCAAAGCACGACCGAAATGGAAATACTTTTCACAATGACTTTTTAATAGCAATTTACAAAAACGTATGATAAATTAAATGACACTATGTATCCAATTCAAAAATGGCAGAAAAAATTGAAAGGTGAACTACGCAACACTAAATATGGGAATTTTCTACAAATAAACAAATCTTGAGAGGATATGATTACAATAATGGATGAATTAAATGTCACAAATGCATGTAAATACTTGGAACAATCACATAGTGAATAGATTATATGAGCAATGTGTTCAAAAATGATTAGAAATAAATTACGTTACTGAATATTATTAAGTACTATAAGATGTTGCACGAAAAAAGAAATTGGAGTGAGATTAAAAATCACAAAGGTGTGAAAACGTGTGAAAACAAGCAGTCTGGCTTCTAGCATAGATAATATAAAATTTCGTTCCATTGATTGTTAGTTTACGTATTATATCTTATGAACGCGAGCTTGTATTTTAAAGCATACAAATTCGACAGAATGGGGATTACGCAATCGTCTATTATTAGTTATTAATCTAAAGCAAGCATTGAAGTCTTTGGTGGTTCATTTATGGAAAAATAAATTTAACAGTCTGAGTTACAACTGTTCAATATTCTGCACTACTCACGAATGGAATTGGCTTGATCAATATCTGATACTATATCGGCTCTCTAGATGAATACTTAGATGTTGCTTATCTTTTTCACCTGATGATTTTTTAGAATGGGCGTAGCAGTTAAATGTAGGGTGAATATTGTAGTGACTAGCATTTTACACGCTTACACGATTTATCTTTACTTTTGGACAGATGAATGATCCCAATCATCCTAGTCACTTCGTCACCCATATGTGAACTTGAGCGTGTATGAACGTACGTATCTGTCTATATGCTTGCTTGCATCTTTTGGTACCATAGATATTGAGTCGCGTTTCAACTCAATTGAGTAGTCTGAGAAGCGTTTCTCCGTGTTCACATATGGAATCGTGAATTTTTACGCTTGAAAACAAGCAGTGCGACTTCTATCTTAGTAAATATAAAACTTTGTTTCTGTTCCTTTTATTTGATCAATTATTCAGGTATATTACTGCTTAGTTCACGTGCGGGTGGAGTAGGTTTAAATTTAATTGGTGCCAATTACTTAATTTTGTTCGATATGGATTGGAATCCAGCAAATGATGCACAAGTAACACTTTGTTTATTTTTCTGTCCTTATAATTCAACCTCACCCCCTAAAAGTCTGTTTATATAATAAGTTTTATTCAGCTTGAATATAAATTATTTTAGAATCTTGTAACTTACTAAGAATGGATTTTTAGACTGACTTGAACCTTGTAAGTCGAATTAGATGGAGAAGTGAACTGTTGAAAATTTATGGTCATTAGTCAAGTAAATTTACTGATTATACGTGGAATAAAATTTCCGTATTTCCTTAATATATTGAATAATACAATGAATGCAACAATCAGTCAGTTGGTTGGGGTGTTTATTGTGATTAAGTAAATATACTAATAAAGAATATAAAATGTCAACTGGATAAGGGATAGTTATCTTGAAAGCGATTTCAGAGGATCCATTTAATGATTAAGAAAGGGAAAACATTGTGGAAACTTTTTTTGAACTCATAATCTTTATTTAGTTAGATGAATTCATATAACTTTCTCTGTATCTTGAAGCCAAATTTTCGATGCATAATTTAGGTTAAAGTAAATTTTTTGAATAGTTAGTAAAATAGTTTTTTATATTTATTTGGTGTCCAGTGTTTACTGGATGAATCTAGTTACGGATTCTTATTGTATTTATGTAGTCCATACTTACCTTTTGAGAGCGATTATCAATAATGCAATGATAGGTTTATACATAATTTCTTTCGATGTTATGTCCTCTAATTTAAGCTGAATGATTTAATTACGGGGCCTTCATTTTTATTCTGGACAACATCTTCAGTTTCTGCCCCGGATAGATATGAACTTTTCAGTTATTCTGTGTTTTATCAGTTTGTTTCAATGATTTTGTTTGTGATTGACTATCTTCATTAATTTTTATTGTCATCATTTGTCCTTATGTTCACGTTGAATACTCTTGTTGGTTGACCTATGACCTTGTGAATGATCGATCCTTTTTGTGTTCCTTCATAGATTGGCTCTATATCAGTATGCACCGTTGATTATTCATTGATCTTAATCTCACACCCCCTAGGAATTCTTCGACATCCTCGAAGTTTCTTTAATACAAAATGTGACGTCTCTCCTGTGGAATTCGTGTCTATAGTTGTCTGCACGCATTGACATCGGTAACTGTATATCATGTCGCTTGATCGCTAAACTGTGTTCATTCGCTCATAAATATGATTTTAATTAACCAACTACTAATTTTCAATATGTTGAATTTTCCAGTCATTTAGCTTATTTAACCAGATACATTTACTTAAACATTTCATATAAATTCAACGTAGTATGCTTCCTACACTAATAAGTATCATAGTTTTTTCTAAAACTGTAATTCAGTATTAACCAATCATCTCAGATGACTAATCAAGATTTACATTTTCATCTATTGTCATGCCTTCTCCAAACTGTATTTGTTCATCTAAATTCATTCAATAAGTTTACATGTGGTTATCGTCATACATTAATCCGTTTTACTTACGAATATTAACAATAAATTCCTGAAAGATCCCAAATAAACGGATACTAAGTTGCCATATCATCTTTTCTTTTACTAAACTTCAGTTACTCAAATTTCTGCATGTTAAACTCTTCTTTAATTTCAGGCTATGGCTCGTATTTGGCGTCCGGGACAAACTAGATCGGTTAATTTATACCGGTTAGTAACAGCAAGTGGTATGGAAGAACGTATATTTCAACGACAAGCAGCTAAATTAGCTTTAACCAGTCAAACATTAGTCAATACATCAATGTATAATGAAAATATTTTGGAATTTATTGAGACAAAAAAGAAACCTGATAAAAATCTTGGAATTCTTACTCCTGATGAATTGAAAGTTTGTTGATATTCATTATTTTTGAAATAGTGTTACTTGATGTTATTATCATGTTTTTTTTATCATTTAAGTTAGTTGTTGGCTTTGAAGTTAGCCGTCTTTCAGTTTTATTACATAATTGATCTCCAAATGCTTGGGTTGAAAGATCCTGTACAGGATCTCAAATTTTTAAAATTTTTCCACCAACGAGATAGAATTTCCTGTTTCAAATTCCAGTTCATGATGCTGCTGCTTGGTTTCAATAGATCTCCTTAGATAACTTATTCTGTCGTTGGATTTATCTATATAAATCATTCAACTATTTTCTCCACTGTAGTTCCAGGATGCCTCAAAATGTAAATGAAGAGTCGTTTCTTCACTAGGTAACAATTTTTTGCAATATTTAGCTATTACTGGTGCTCAGTGGGTCTTATCGTACTATGATGTAGTAGGGGGGACCATTCATATTGTCTGTTTATTCATGTTCTTCTGTGCAGTCTGTTCTTATCATGTCATCAGCACAATCAGTCATGTCGATTACTTTGTTTAAATGTATGTTCAGTGTTTTTCATAACTGAAGACAGATTCTCGTTGAATCAAGATCTAGATTACTTAAAATCAGATGAGTGATTTTATACCTCATTCAACTGTAAACCATCTGGACAGTCCGTCGTAAGCCACGAACATGTGTTAATTGTTGGTGGATTTAGTGTTATGATTGATTTTGGAATTGTGTGATTTGTTTCAATTAAAATCATTGTAATTGAGAATCGAATGTAGATTCAATTTAAAATCCGTCGTCAGCTCTTGCCGTAAATCAACCATTTGAAATTATCATCTCAAATAAAATTATACCTAAACCCTATCCTTGTTTACTGACTATTTGTTTTTATCATGATTTAAAAACTGGTTAACGCCATTTTCTTATCTAAACAAAGCTACTTTGAGAAGAGAATGACATGTGTTATTCAAAGCATAAATTTGCTCATCTTTCTACGATCCATGTTATCTGGGGTTATTTACTGTGACTGTATTTCACTACTAATTATTTGTAAGTAGTACAAGGTGTATTACAAAATATGGAGTGATACATATTTTCTCTTGTAACTTGTTCATTATTTTCTTTTCCTTTCAATGTTTAGGAATTATTTCTCCTTCCCAATACATCATCAGGGTCATGGACTCATGAACTTATTCAGTGTAATTGTAATCAGTCTCTAGAAAAGAAACCTTTCACCCCAAGTCCTTCTCTCTCATCATCATCAGACATTGAAAACTATGATTCTGCCGATGAAATTGTAGTGAAGACTTTTATAGATTATTCTCATGAACTTGACGATAAAGAGAACAGAAAAGAAGAAATCGAATCATCAGAACACACTACTGGTATTATCAATGATGAGAATGAAGACGATGAATATTCCAATATTAGAATATTTCAATTAGGTTCTACAAATCCACTTATTACTGAGAGCTTGAAATCACCCAAATCCCAATTCACCTATTTGAAACAACAGTCAGCTTCAATGCCAACGACAACTCATAAGTTACCATCATCTGATTCACTTGGTTTTCTATTGAATTGGAAACATTCTTTTTCATCTGAACAAATAGATCAGTTGAATGATCGACTTTTAATAACACATCAATCGGACCCTATGAAATCCTTAATAAACTGTATATTTACACTAAATTCGAAAGCATCTTAAGTATTTAGTATTTTTTAAGTTATCTTCATTATATCGATTAGTTTTCTCACCTCTCTTCACACCTTTCTTGGATAACGACTTGAGTGTATTCATAAACAGTCTTATTTATAATGCATACCGTTAAGTGCTGTTTGTGTATTGGGGAAGATGTTCATTAAAATACATATTGTCCTTCAATAAATGAAAATGTGGCTATTGTTAGGTTTGTCGGGTCAAACGAAGTTTGAAGATTGTATTGGCTTTTCGGATTATTTATGTATGGAAAAATGCAACAAGCAATAATTAGTTTATGCTTAGCGTACACTAAAGATAATAAACTCGACGGTAATAATATCAAAATCTCAGCGCATATATGCATGAAAGTGATCGATTCACCACGTGTGAAATAACAAATGAGGATCAACCACATAAGGAAACAGTTTAATCAAAATAGTACGAAAAAAGAATTCATCCTAATTACTCATAGATAATGTAGTTGTGCTATACAAGTTCCACAGGTGTTAAAGCGAGGATAATTCGATTCACTCAATGAAAAGTGCTCAAAAGTATAACAAAAAGGTGCTGAAGCATTTTTGTGATTTATTTATCGTTTTCTTTTGATCGTTACTTTTATGTGCTCGAACTTAACAGAAGGTATCTACGGGATTTATACTGTTGATTGAACTGGCATTTGGGAGGAAAACCTGAACTTAAGCTTCATCCAAGTCGACAGTTTTCAACAAAGCGTCCATTCAGTCTTAAACGAATCAGATTTTTCTGTATGACTAGGACGAAATCTGTCAAGTCAAGCAATCAGAGATGCTACTACTGCCGAATTACTTATACTATTACCTAGGTTAATACTTGGTCGACAGAATCCTATTGATATGCAAGACTAGACAAGCATAAAACTCGCTACCTCTCACTATTCAGTCAATGTAGGTTTAAAATTGAACTAAATAAACTTTATTTTTTCAGGGCGGTTGGAATATGCTTTCTCTGTGCTAACCAACTAATTCTAGATGGAACAGTCAATCCTCTAATAACATCAAGCAGGTGGCGCTAGTAGGCTATCAGTGAATAGTTTAACATAGTTCTCAAGTTCAACTAGTGAGATAGTCTAAGGTCATGATCATTTATAATTGTGTTCACGTCATAGTTGCTGACGTTCGTTCATCAATCTTCTTGTTAGATGGTTCGACATAGTTGAACTATGTTAATCTGTATCACAGTAAGGTGTAACTGCTAAGCTATTTGGTCTGTGACTGACATGTGGGAATAGGATTCATACAACTGATCATTCTCTAAGTAGTGACCGATGTCAGGTTTGCCTAAACCATATGTACTGGTTCGGTCTCCTCAAACGGGTTCGAATCCCCCAAATGCAGCAGTTTCTTCAAGACTGCAGGTACACCTTGCTGATAGATATCAACCAGCACGAAACCTAGTTTCAGTTTCCTGTCGAAAATCCTCACCCAATTAACATTTCAACATAGTGCACTCAATGGCTAATCACTTAGAATAGTGGTCTTATTACAATTAGATCGATGGAATTCAATCAGCACTAATGGCTAGAAAAACCTAACATTGGCTCAACCAATTGTCAAATGAGCTACCACTTTTCGAGCATAATATAAAGCATATGATTTCGTAACAGATAACATAAGCATACGTGCAAACTATAATTTGTCTAAAAATTCCTCCATTTAACCTCAGCAACCGCAGATTTCAATCTAGCAGATACAAAAAGCAATCCTTACAGTTGCAAATGACTTTTTTTATCTTAATATCTTGTGGATGGACGGTTACATTCCTTCCTACTAAATGCGTTTGGCCCTTCTTGTTAACATACAATTAATTAGAAAAAATCAACAGGCTCTATATATATTTATCAGTTTTACTGCTCCTGTGGAGCTAGTCACATGCAACTGACAAATACTCAAGTACGATTTTTATATTTCTGAACATCATCCTTCATAATGAATCAACGAACTAGTTAGATCTCTAGCCTTTAAAATGGTATTATTCTCAGTTATTTATCTATACCTTTCTACCTACATTGATAATGTTCAAATATTCACTTCTTATTAAATTTATTAATCTTTAAATTCTTTTATAAGTAGTTCTCATATTTAACATCTATATTTATCATAATTCTACTTACATTACATTCTTACATTATTACAAACACTTAAGTGAGAAGTTGTTATCTCCCGATGCGAATTATGAATGGTAACTTTTGGGATCCATTTGTGAACTAATACTACACATATATTTTCATTGTATAATTGTTAAACAAGTAAGCTATTCGTATTCGTGTTCCTCTTATTCTAAGCTTTATTTCGACTTATGAACTGTTATTATACGATTTACCATTCTTGAGCTATGCCTTGTCTATCAATTACCATCTCCTACATTCACAGTCACTTTGGGCTAAGTCTTGTACAAATGTTTTTTCCTATTTGATGGTGCGATTTGGTCTCCTTGGTTGGTTTATAAACCCAGTATGTTTGAAATAAATGATTCATATCGCGGAGGCTGATATTGGTGTTCTGGACCTAACAGGTAAGGCTAGGTGGGAATCAGGACCGATAAAGATTCCAGACTGCTCGTACTTGTTTCATGCATCATTGGTCCGGTCGATAATATACCGTTCTCTAATTCGTGGTATCATTACGTCATATATTAATAGGATACATGGCACAAGTTGTAACAGAATTAATTTTAAAAAATCAATTTAAACAGAATTTATTAAAATCCACTAAATTGTGCATAAATATTTTTGAGGATAATAGACATTTTTTCGTAGTGTAAAACTTGTTTACTTTTTATTCATTTAAGTAGTATAATTCATATTTTATAAATAAATAATCTGATATTTTTTTCTAAATAATTCAAAATTTGAAATATCATTAAAATTATGATTTCTTGAATTTGATTTATATTTTTTCAAATTATACCAATCATATTTTGAATTAATATTAAGATTAGATGTGAATTTATTAATTTTTATTGTATTCGATTCATTACATTTATATTTATAAGTAGTATGATTAAACTGGGTATTAGTAATTAAAGAGGTTTGTGAATTCATTGTGTTGCCATATTCTACGAAAGAAGGTATTTTCTTCTGTTCATTACTATTATTAGTATTATCATTGCTGAGATCACTAGAGCTACAGTTTTGCTTGTGTAAATATTCCGACATTTCTACAACATCTTCATTGACTTTTTCATAATTCAGTGGTAAATCAGTAGTAGTTCTATGCACAGATTTAGCTTGATGACCAGAATTTTGGATAAATAATTTCTTCCCATAATTTATGAATGGAATGTTTGTACATTTTTTTGGAATTACATCATATAGATTACATAATGATAATCGTTTACAATAATTTATGATTGTAGTTAAATGTGTATAAAGATTTGATTTAAATTCTTTTATACCAAATAACAGAATAATAGCTCTTATATATATTTCAATAAAATTTATAAAACGTAATGCAGACTCATAGTTACTTAAATAAATTTCATAAGGTTTTAATAATTCCATAATATAACCGATAGTATTCAATAGTCCTTGATCTGTTTGATTTTGAAAATCATCTAATTCATGATTATGTACATTATTACGATTTGTTACTTTACCTAAAATTTAAAGTGAACATTAATGCGTTAGAATATAGATATATATTTTAATAGTTCAGATTATGAGTCAATTGAAGCTAGACTACCATGAAAAACCGGGAAACACTAGACGGCCGTCTCGTCCTGTTGTGGGACGACTCAGCAGTGCGCATCCATGACACCGCCTCGTGAGATTTCATCCAAGACCTATCAGTCTCGCGCGCGAACGCTTAACCTCTAGACCACTGAGCTGACTGGCATCCAACGATGTTAATGTCTAACTTCAACTAGTCCACAAAATTCAGCGAAACATTCACCATTGTCATCCGTGAGTTACTATGTCATAACAGACACAGTTGAACTCCACTGGTCACTGTTTTTCACTAGAACTCCATGAAATACCTCTTGAAGTCAGTCATAAGTGAGCATATGTTGATTAAAATTACTATAATATCCACAAAACCCTTCTGATATATGTATTTATTTATAATAATTCGTGATCAAAGTGGATATACTGACTATTTAAAGGAAAATATCTTTACAAACCAATGAATATACGTGGAAAATACAGTGATTAACAACCTTCTATTATATGTAAAGAAGATAATTTTATTGATTGAATAGTAATGAAAAAGACAAAATATTGTAGATGAATAATTAAAGCTGGTTTGACCTCATTATTTGAGTGGAGTGAAACTATTCAATCGACGATATCAAAATTATATATAGTTATGTTGATATAAAAAAAACGTACATTGGTTGATAAGAAATGAATCTTTGCATGAAATTTAGCAGATAATCTAAAATATATGAGATAGCTAAAAGACTTGTAGAAGTGTCAAATTTACACAATTACTTGGAAGATCTAGACAAGTTATTGAAATCTCTAAACTTCCTTGCATGATGATTATAAGAAACATGTGACTGCTGAATATTCGTTTTAGTGTAAAACTTTTGGTAATCTTATGTTTTCTTGAATTTCACACATTTTCAATTTTCCGAAATGTTTGTGGATATCTTGGAAATCCTTTTGATTCAGTCTCATGTTTCTTATAGTTTACATCAAGAACTGAACCTATGCAAACATTGAGAATCAAGGAAAAGTGGAAAGCTATTTCGTCTTAGTACGCTACATTTTAATAGTGTTCATCCAAGAACCTACTGGAGACCAAACCAAAACGTTCAAATCTTTCATCGAGTGCTTAGCATTCAATCCATTGATGCAGCAACCAACGGGTTTTACTTATAATTTCAATTCATTGTCGGTATTACGCAATGATCTTCCAATTTCTTTTTATATTTTCTCCTGATATTAGTCTCCGGGTAATATATCTTTACTGGAAATATCTCTTAATTACAACAACTTCATCGACCACAAACATGTGTCATAATTAGAACTTCAGTTAGGTACAAAACTAATAAATAATTACTGAATTTCTCAACACTGTATATTTAATCCCTATTGTTTACTATTCCTTTCCTACCTGGTTTTATTGAAGTCTTGTAAACTCATGAGTATCAGTCCTAATATCCCAATTTAGTTATGTCTGAGGCCATAGGGTCTATTAGACAGTATGTTTCCAAATCTCTCTGCTACTATCAGCCATCCAGTTTTTGTGTTGTTACTGTTTAATTTTAAATAACAAACTTTCATTTACAATCATTTTACTATAGAATAAGTTCTATATATTAGAATCTCATAATCAGTATCGTTGCATCAAAAATTTCAAATAAGATTTTATGCTACTTTAAATACATTTCAGTAATACTAAAAATTTATAGAAAATTTATGTTGAACTTACTTATAAAAAAGAAATATTTCATTAAATAATATAAACATCGTGGTATCAAAAATATTCCATGAATAATACAAATTAAATTAAATACTCGAATTATTTTCATAATCCATCTAATATATAATAAATAATTTTTATTATATCTTTGTTCATTATTATTATTATTATTATTGATGAATATAGTTAGATATTTCTCTTGACTACTATTATGATCATGATGATCATACAACTTATTATTGATTTCTTTCTGATATTTGATTACTTGAAATCGATATAATATATAACTAATTAATCCACTAAATAAACATATGATACATGGTAATATATCACCAATTATATGATCTATTAATGGCCATATATAATTTAAAAATATTGGACTTAATATCCATGTTAATGCAAAATCACATTTATATATATTATGTAATATACGTTCATGTAATATAAATGTTTCTAATTTTGATAAATCATATGTCCATATAAATTGACAATTTAATATAATTGTTATAACAATGATTAATATCAATATATTCTGTATAAATTGTTTTATTTGTTTGAATGGCTTATTTAATTGTTGCCATGGATACAAATATAATTTGATTGTTTCGATTGTAAAAATTATATATAATATTGAATGTATATGTTTTATTAAATTATATAACATTGGTATAATTTGACAATAAAAACGTCCAAAAAATTGTATGATAATAAATAATTTAATTTCGTAATATGATTCAATAATAAGATCAATAATACAGATCAATAAATCAAATTGATCCAGTATAATAATATAAAATAAAAATATTATCCATGGTATTTGTTTATATAATATTTTTATTATTGTATTGATTATTAGAAAATTTATAATTAATGCAAATAGAATTAATGGAATCATTAATTGATTTATTGATATTTGATTATTATGTAATATTATTGATTCATTTTCAAATTCAATCGATTTTATTGATTTATGTATATTGAATGAATTAATCAATGTTTCATTTAATGTATTATTTTGATTGATGAATTTATTAGTTTTTAAATTTATTATATTTTCCATTGATGTCGGATTAATAGAGCCATTTGGATATTTTGTCAATTGTGTTTTTGTTGAAGTAGCTAAAAATAAATCAATAGTTATATTCTCTTAATTATCATTTTAATTATTATTGTTGGGGTGTGAGCTACTTTTATCCACAAAAGTAGTATATAACGATAGTCAGAGATAGAATGCATTGAAGAAGGAAAGAATGAAAACAGAAGGCAATTGGTATGAAATTACACAAACAATGAAATCTGAGATGATGGACTGACATTTGCAGACAATTGACTGATATTTTGCAAATTAAGTATTTAATGTATGGTTCTCAGTTGAAGTGAGATATTCTGTAAGTTTTAGGCCCAACTCCATTCGATAGTCCCCATTCATGTTCTTGTTCACAACATTATTATTATAAGTGGTTATATTCAATATTATATTTGTGGTACAATATAGAATTCTCAGCATAACAAGTTTCTGTTTCTTAATTCTTGGTCGGTCTTGACGATAACATATTAAGTGGTTGCTAGTTAGAAATTAACAGTCCAGTCAATAGACACCTAAATAATGTACATTCTTTTTAACTGTATAATGCCAGAAACCACCATATCTCTGACTCAGCCTTTTGTAACTTGTACAACGAAAGGTTGTATACTTTTCAGAAACGCAACTGAATACGTTATACGATTAAGAGACATAATGATGCATTAAAACAAACGAAATTAAATAATCTATTGAAATATCTAAATGGCAAGATATAGATAGCCCAAATGTTCAACCAGGCCATCATATCACTGTCATCAATCTATTATCTTTACAGTGGGTTGTATAACACACAAAATCTACCTTTTTTGGATGAATAAACAAAAATGGTTAACTTTGAATCGATAAGACTTATTGCTTGATTAAATCTATGTTGATCAGTTTTCTTTAAACTAACATTTTGTTATAAAACTTAAAGAAGAGCCTCACCACTTCTAAGGGAAACGAATGATGATGTAGTTAATGTTTTTACTTTACTTTTAATAATCTATCACCAGTATATGACTTCATAAAGTTTTCCATTTCATCATCATGTTTTGTAAATCAGCTCAACAAGACAGTAGATTAATAGTAATCGAACCACATGAGAGGATATGATCTTGTTAAGTAACAGATGAGATGAAAGAAGAAAATGTGTAAAGTAATGTTAAACTTAATATCTAGTGAGTGAAAATTCATAAATATCAACTAAGAAGATATCACCTACGTATTTGCCATAGACCAACAGGAAATGAGTCCAAGTACTAATGAACTATATTCGTTTGACTGCTGACTTTATCCAACCTACTGTTATGTCGGCTAATCATAAACCTCAGGGAACATTGTAGTTGGATATGCATAAAATATTGTCTCATCAATTGAAATACCATTTCTACTTAAAACCATATACTAAACATTAGCATTTGTTATTCCTTAATTTCACTGTAGACCAACAATGTTTTCAAGACGTCTATAGCAAACTTCCGTTTTCACTTTTTATTTCGTCATGTTTCACATCTGTAAAACAAAACGGATCAAACTGGTGAACAGTATACTTAAGCAGGTATATAGTCTGCTCTATATGATTGGATATTGTTACTGTTTGATTACACAAAATTGATCTTAATAATGTGATCAAAACAAAAATTCACTTTACATGAGTTACACTCATCTTCTTCGAACTTTTTGAACTATTCAGTATTAAAATCTGATTAAGTACTCCTAAAGATTGCTTAACCTCTAAACCACTGAGCCAGTATCCGACAGTGTTAATGTCTAACTTCAAGTAATCCACAAAAAATTCAGCGACACATCCATTACTGTCTTCAGTGAGTTACTATGTCATAACAGACCCAGTTGAAATCCATTGGTCACTGTTTCTTACTAGAACTCCATGAAATACCTCTTGAAGTCAGTCACTAGTGAGCATATATTGATCGATATCATAAGTGGTTTTGTAGATATTATAACAATTTTAATAGTTGAGATCATTAGTCCCACAGTAGGACGAAACAACCGTCTGAAGCTTCCCTCATTTTCCATAGTAGTCAAGCTTCAATGGACTCCTGATCTCAACTATTAATGTAGACCTACCTAATTTATATTCATGATTACAGATTTGAAATTAATCAACATATATAATTACTAGAAAGCTTAATGAATAGTAATTTATTAGTTTAAGCGCCTGGCGTGAGACTGATAGATCCTGGGTTCGGATCCCGCTGGGTGCGGGATCGTGGATGCGCACTGCTGAGGAGCCCCATACTAGGACGAAACGGCCGTCCAGTGCTTCCAGGTTTTCCATGTTGGTCCAGCTTCAATTGAATCATGATTTCAACAAGTGGAATAGTAATTTAATCGGATGGATATACAATGTGAATTCAATTCAATTTATGAAGATGTATTTAACAACTGATTATTACATAAACGACTGAATCGATTGCCTTTCCCTTCTTTTTCTCTTCTTCTTTTATTCACAGTTTATTGGTTGAATGAAAAGGATATTTTGTTTTTCATATTAGTTATCTAATAATTGGTGAATTGATTTAATTTGCCATTAATAAATCATTTCAATCAACATTGAACTATTAAGGAAATATAATGAAATAACAGATTATACTAAATACATTCTATAGAGATTTATATTTGAATCGTTTATATAATGATTTATATTAAATTAATTTTATATAGATTATGAATTTAAGAATTAAACAAAGATCATATTACTGAAGAGATCAAGAAGATTCTGAATACACTGAGAAATATCTTAGCTAATCAACATTCGATAGAAATTTTGTCAGAAACATCTAGAAAATGAAATATCACATATCACGTTTCTGATTGAATGATTACTTTTGCTGCTATTATGTTTAGCATTCCCCGAAAACCCCAGTCAGTCAGTGAGCTACAACGTAGGACCACACATCGGTCCAAGTTGTCATTAGCACAGCAAGATGAACAACAGTTTCATAGAATTAGTTAATTCAGTGGTGGTAATATATAAAAGGAAGATTGCATATAAGAACATAGTACAAGAGAAAAGAATTAGTTCGTAGAAAGAAGGATATGAAGCGATTTTAATCTCATAGTTTAAGGGAAGACAAAGAGTGTATACACCTAAGCCATTGTGATCGATTCTGAGCCATGTCACTCACAGTCTCCAACAATTGGCTACAATATTCACGCGGTCCCCAACCAAGTGGTCTGCATCTACCAACATGGCTCAGACCACAAGTTGGTGACTTCAAGCACTGATGTCACGTTCTCGTTTGGCCGACCCTAACTTTCTTCCAACCATCCCCTACACTAGTCAGCATTGGGTGTCGTGGTACTCGGTGTTCAGGCATACACCACACGTGGCCCAACTATCTCAATCGACAAAGATTCACAACCTCATCAAATGATTTACCATCATTCCTTAATACTCTGCGTCTAACCTCATTATTACTTACCCGGTGATCTCAGCAGATGCGAGCAATATTTCCAAGACATCTGTGGCCAAATACTAGTAACTTACGAATATCTTCTATTCTTAGTGGCCACGTTTCGCAGCCGTGAATTAGAGCAGAACGAGCTGCTGCGCAGCATACTCACCCTTTAATTGATAGACGGATATCTCGCTATTGCCATAGGTGACATAAGTTGGCGAAGTCCAAACGGGCTTTTTGAATCCGTATAGAGATTTTGTCATAGATACATTACGGCTGATCAGATTTCCAAGACCCAAAGCCATCTAAAATAGTATAAATGACCTAGATTTTCTGTGCATAAATGAACCTTGGATTAAAACGTTTCTTCCATATTTCACACCTCTCACATGTAGATTTAGCCTGTAGTTTACTAGAAGATCTTGAGAAACTGAATCTAGAGTTCAAATAGAAAAACTATATAGCAAATCGTTACTTTGCAAAATATCATTCCATCATATCAAACCGGACTGTTGTTGTTGCAATTATCAGTCCATTGTCTCACATTTCATTGTTCATGCTTTTTCTTAAAAATTGCACTGTTCTCGCTCTTCTTTCCTTGATCTTCCCCCATCTGCTGCCAGACATTACGTTCCTGACTCGTGTCATATACTACTTACATCAATATAAGTAGCACGCACCACAGTATCACTACGTGACTTCAAAATTTATCGTCAGGATCGATCAAACAATAAAAAGAGGTGTGGCGGCGGTGTAGCTACGTTTGTAAACGTGAACTGGTGTCGACCTTCGTTTGCGTGTTTCAAGTTTTAAAATGTTTTTATCGACTGTCTAACTCGAAGATGTTGTCCAAAACATCTGAATAAATGCAAATAAGTTTATGTTACCAATATCTACTTGACTCCAGACTCCACATCATCTGCGCTATCTGTCTTCGCTGACGAATTCGCTGAGTTCGCTGTTACTGCCTTCAGTGATTCACTTTGAGTTATATGTGGTGATTTCAATTCATGTGACTGTAGCTTCCTTACGTCACTAGGTCACCAAAATGTAGTAGATTTTCCTACTCGTTTGGATGCTCATTTAGACTTCGTTTTCATTAATGATGTGGGTATATATGTGACTCGTGAAAATGCTCCATTGTCTAGCTCGGATCACTGTATAATTCGTGTTCTA